AACAATAGATGATGACCATGAGGTCAAATGACAAATGCCTTTTGAACACCTACTCTGAGCCAAGCATTTCTTTTTGTTTTTGTTTTTTTTTTAAAGATCTTATTTATTCATAAGAGACACAGCAAGAGAGAAAAGCAGAAACATAGGCTAAGAGGGAAGCAGACTCCCTGCAAGGAACCTGATGTGGGAATTGATCCTGGATCCCAGGATCACACCCTGGGCCAAAGGCAGACGTTCAACCGCTAAGCCACCCAGGCATCCCTGAGCCAAGCATTTCTTATACCCAAAAAATACAAGAGGGAGGGCAGCCCAGGTGGCTCAGAGGTTTAGCGCCACCTTCAGCCCAGGGAGTGATCCTGAAGACCCAGGATCGAGTCCCACGTTGGGATGGATCCCTGCATGGAGCCTGCTTCTCCCTCTGCCTGTGTCTCTGTGTCTCTCATGAATGAATGAATGAATAAATAAATATATATATATATATATATATATATATATATATATAAAATACAAGAGGGATAAGGCAATATCAATATAGCAATATCAAGAAAAGTGAGAAAATTTTCTACCTGTGCGATCGGAGGAAGGAATAAAGAGAATATGGCAAGAAATTGAGGAACATAAAGCACAAGGACTTTGAATGGCAGACTAAGAAACTGAGCCTTTACTCCAAGAATAGGAATGGAGGACACATTGAAGCAAAATGATGATATGGTCAGGTTTGCTTTTTGGACCATCATTTAGCTTGTGATGTGAAGGATGGATTGAAGGAGGGAGTTGGAACCAAGATAATGAGCTAGAAGGATGAGAAATCTTGAGTTAGGATAATGATAGCAGGAAGAAGGAGAGGGGAGAGATTTGAAAGATATTAAGATGTGGGGCTTTGTGTTCCTGCCCCCCCCCAACTATTAGGACTATTTGTTCTCCCCTTCTTCTATGTTAATGAAACTCTCAATTTTCATCTGGGCACATGGCCATACAAGTAAAAACTTTATTTCTCAGTGATCCTTGTCTGAGTGGCTATTTGGTTAAGTTCTTCTGACCTGGAGGACGTGCTGTAGTGCCCTAACATAAAAGTAGAGGATGGAGGGGCACCTGGGTGGCTCACTTGGTTGAGCACCTGACTCTTGGTTTCAGCTCAGGTAAATGATCTCAGGGTGGTGGGATTGAGCCCCATGTTGGGCTCTGTGCTCAGCTTGAGATTCTCTCTCTCCCTCTCTCTCTGCATCTCCCCCTCTTCACACATTCTTAAACAAATAAATTTTTTAAATCTTCTTTTAAAAAAAAAGATACAAAGTTGAGGTGGTCAGCTCTCTTGGGTTGTGCAAATGATGTCACTATCCTAGGGATGGCAGAGCCATTAGCCTAGCTAAAGGTCCAACTTTTACATATGGTAAAGTTGTGGCTTTACCCACTGAGCCACCGAGGTGTCTCCTTTCCCCCTAACTCTTATTAGAGTTTCAATTCTTGGGTGCCTGGGTGGTTCTAGTCGGTTAAGCGTCTGCTGGGCTCAGGTCATGATCCCAGGGTCCTGGGATGGAGCCCCACAGCTGGCTCCCTGCTCAGTGGGGAGTCTGCTTCTCCCTCCTCCTTTGCCCCTCACCACCTGGTGCACGCGCACACACTCTCTCAAATAAATAAAATCTTAAAAATAAATAAATAAATAAAATAAAATTTCAGCTCTTGGCTTAAATGGCATTCATCAGGGAGATTTCTGAACTCCAGAATAGCTCCAGTGCCAGTCTCTCTGTACTTCTTCCCTGCGCTTGTCATAATTATGTAATAATTGGTGTAATTATTTGTTTAATGTTTGTCTTTCCCACTAATGTTTGGCTTTCCCACTATTCTCTAAGTGCCATGACAGCTAGGAACATGCCTGTTCTGTTCACTGATGTATCCCTAGAACGTGGTGCAGAACTCGACACATAAACAGTGCTGAAGACATATTTGTTAATGAATGAATGTCCCTTTCAACCATAACTTTCCAGAAAGTATCCTCATCAGTATACTCTCTTCTTAGCACACTCTAGCCCAGCTCAGAGAGGTCTTCCTTTCTTGAAGGACCTGGGACCAGTTGATGTTGGAAAAGGAGAAGTCAGCCAAACACAAAAAGGCCTTTTTCATACCCACAGCGAGAAATGACCCTTTTCCAAGGGTCATTGGTTTGCTAATCTACTCTGAACTAATAGCAGATAGCTAAGGGAACAGTAATAAGACTTAAGCAGACAACATATTGATTAAAAATTAAGCTTGGCAAATAGTTAAAGTACTAAATGCTAAAATAAAACCTGATAAAGAATATTGCTTATAAACAAAGTGTTAGAAGATAACTAAAGTGTTAGTTGAAACTCAAATATTAACTACTCAACTGTTAGCTGATTACCAATAGATTAATTTAAAACTAAATTGTTAGCAGATACTGATTAGCCAGTGATGAAGGTGACAGTTGATAAGGATTTAAAGAGATTTTTTCCCCCTAGGGAACCCTTGCACAGTAGAGGGGACATGGGAGCATCAAAAAGCTGATAGAGCATAGGAATGACAGCCTAATTGGGCCTGCAGAATCCTCAGCTGGACTTTAAATTTCTGGGGGAAACTGCTCATCTTTGGTTTCTAGATAGATTCTAGTCAGGGACAGTATGGAGCTGGTGCTCGAAATGTTTACTTTGTAATTAAATTATATATGCTAAGGGCCAGGCACTGTGCTAAGGAGAGGAGAGCAGTTGCTTAAATAATAATAATGTAGTGAGTGAGTGGTGTGTGAAAGGAAAGGTTGTGGGGTTTGCAAAAGCTCAGTGGAAGAGAGACAGTATGTCAGGGAGAGATGATGAGTTTCGTTCTGGACATGTTGAACTGAAATCTCAGTAGACATGCCTAGTAGGCAGGTGACTATGAGTCCAGTGTAGATACAAGGTAGAGATTTGGGTGTCAGTAGGGCATAATGGCGGGGTGCCTGGGTGGCTCAGTTGTTAAGTGCCTGACTCTTGATTTCAGTTCAGGTCATGATCTTAGGGTTATGGGATTGAGCCCCATGACACGCTCCATGCTCAGCTTAGAGTCTGCTTGAGATTCTCTCTCCTGGGACGCCTGGGTGGCTCAGCGGTTTAGCGCCTGCCTTCAGCTCAGGGCCTGATCCTGGAGACCCGGGATGGGGTCCCATATTAGGCTCCCAGTATGGAGCCTGCTTCTCCCTCTGCCTGTGTCTCTGCCTCTCTGTGTGTGTCTCTCATGAATAAATAAATTTTTTAAAAAAGTTTCCTCTCACTATCCCTCTGCCCCAACCCCTGCTAGCTCTAAATAAATAAATAAATAAATAAATAAATAAATAAATAAATAATAAATAAAATGTTTTTTGAAAATAGGGCATTGATCGTGGTCAAACAAATGAGATGGCTGTAGAAGGGTACAGGGAGTGAGAAGGACCAGCCTGTTACCCCAAGGAAGACCAACAGGAAGGAGTAAGCAGGAGGAAGAGACATCAGCAGATACTGAGGAGGAAGGAGCACTCAAAGAGAAAGGGGGAAAACCAAGAAAGGGAAGAGGATGAGTCAGGGAAAGGAATGCAGTCGGCAATGTCAGATGTGGCTGAGAGGTCAAGCAAGACAGGTCAGAGAGAGGTCCACTGAGAACGTGGTTCCGAGGTGTCCATTAGGAACATTTCTGTCATTGCTGCGTTTCATTCTGTGTGTGCGCACACAGCATATGCGGAGCTGGAACTTGGAGCAGGGTGTGTAAGGGCACCCTGGAAGCCACCATAGTGGGGCTCGTGGTCACTCACAGAGAGCCCTCATTTACTCTGGGTAGCTTTGGAGAGGGACCATTAAGGGACACTGCAAGAAGGATAAGCACAGTTTAACCCTTTCATTGTCCAGTGGGAAAATGGAAGACAGCAGAGAGGAAACAATTTGCTTGGTCTAGGAGTCAGGGGCACAGCCAGGACTTAAATCTGAGTCTCCCTTCTAGAAGAGTGACCTTGGGAAGAGTGGACATGAAATTCTTATTGGCTAAGGAATTATCAGTCAGTGACTTTGTCTATCACCTCAGTTTTTAGCTGCCTCTTTTTATATTTCTATAAAAAAATACTTTTTTATAGAATATATATTCTATATAAATATTTTACATACAAAATTCAAATATTACAGAAATTACTCAACAAAGACAGTGAAGATCTCCTGTTATCCCCTTTCCCCTGACTCCCGCATTGACAACCACCATGTTAAGGTGGTCTACGGGCACCTGAGTGGCTCAATTGGTTAAGTGTCTAACTTTGGCTCAGGTCTTGATCTCAGGGTTGAGCCCCAGGTCAGCTCTGCCTTTCGCTTCCCACTGAGCCAGTCCCTCTGCTTCTCCATTTTCATGCTCTCTCTCTCAAATAAGTAAATAAAATCTTAAAAAAAAAATAGTTTGGTCCATATTCTCTCTCTCCCTCACTTAACACTAAAAAATTTTGATAAAAATATTATACTTCCTTATTCTGGATTTTTTAAATAATATTTTATTTTGGGATATCTGGGTGGCTCAGCAGTTGAGTGTCTGCCTTGGGCTCAGGGCCTGATCCGGGATTCCCAGATCGGATCCAGTCCTGCATCAGGCTCCCTGCGAGGAGCCTGCTTCTCCTCCCTCTTCCTTTGTCTCTGCCTCTCTCTGTGTCTCTCATGAATAAATAAAATCTTTAAAAAATAAATAAATAAGAAAAAATAAGAAAAAATAAATAAGAAATAATAGATACTGCCAAATCACCCACTTGTGCCAGTTCATTGTCCCACCAACAGGTGTTATGAATGCCCATCTCCCCACACCCTTACCAGCTATGGGTATTATCATTTAAAAAATCTTTCCAACTTTAATGAGGCTGAATATCTTCTCATAGCCTTATTATCCTTCCACAATATTCATTGAATTATCTATTTATAACCTCTGCCTATTTATTATTATTGAGTACTTTCGGTCAGTGAGTTCTTATTGAGCAATAATGATTGGCTCGATAAAAAAAAAATAGGAAGTCTTTGTACCAAATTGCTAACAGTATTTATTTACCTCCAGGGAGTGAGATATAGAAAATGAGGAGGGGGATATCTTCATTTTTATTTTACATCATTCTGTGTTATTTTACAATCTATATGCATTACTTTTGTAATTTAAAAAAATAATACAGAGGAAAACAATTACAACAACAAATAAATCTTTGGCCTGGATTCTCAATGGCTGGAAATTCATGTTGGGCACAAGTTTTTATTGATTACAAGCTATTTTTTGGTTTATATGCAAAAAAAAATTATTGAATGACTCCTAATAAGCTGGCACTGCCCTAGGCACTTTAATAGATCTTTCATCCTCATCCTCACAACGGCCCTGTGAGGTAGGAAATGGTCCCATTTTACAGAGTTCTTAATAGGCAGGAGATTATTGCTTGATATACTTCTATTTGCCACATGTTTTCACGGGCCAGAGGTTCTTACTGGCTGGTGATTCATTGGTCAAGAGCTCTCATCGGCCAAGAGTTCCGATAAGTTGTTCTAAGACTCAAGTAATCCAAAATACTAGAAAATTTCCCCCTTAGGAATAATAGGGAAGGTGGGATAAAAGTGGAGTCCATAGGCCCTCCCTCCAAGCACCATTGAGCACCACTGAGTTTGCTTTGGTCACCTATTCAAGGTGGAAGACGGAGGGAGAGTAGGGAATGGGATAGTGGAAGAGGAGAGAAAGTGGTTATAAGTCTTCTCGCTTCTTCAAGATGAGCTTCCTCACAAGTGCTGTGATCTGGGGCCTGATATCTTCCACCGACACAGTTGGGTCCCAAGCCCCTACTACTTTTCCATCTGGGGCCACTAGGTATTTCCAGAAGTTCCAGGTGGGCTCCTTCCCAGAAGTCTCTAGAGAAAAAGGAAGAAAGAGAGCTAAGTGTGCTTCCCCTGTGTCCCCTCTCCTAGAATTCCACTACCAGAGTCCATCCTTCCCTTGAAGCAGTGGTTCTGTTGGTGAGAATTAACTTTTTAAAATCCTGATGCCCGGTCCGCACCCAGACTACTTTTTTAAGATTTATTTATTTATGATAGACATAGAGAGAGAGAGAGAGAGAGAGAGAGAGAGAGGCGCAGAGATACAGGAGGAGGGAGAAGCAGGCTCCATGCAGGGAGCCTGATGCAGGACTCAATCCTGGAACTCCAGGATTGCACCCTGGGCCAAAGGCAGGCGCCAAACCACTGAACCACCCAGGGATCCCCACATCCAGACTACTTAAATCAGAATCTCTGGTAGTAAGATTCAGGGATCAGTATTTTTTAAAAGCTCTCCAGGAGATGCCAGTATGGCTCCAACATTGAGAACTATTGCTTTAGGATTCTGTTAAGTGTTTGATAAAAGCAATATCAGCTCCTCCTTTCTTAATGATCTCAAACTACTGAATAGTCTACACCTATTCTCTAATGAAATCTTAATGGTTTCCAAACGTTAATCTGTGGACTGGCTGCATCTGAATCATGGTGGTGGGGGGGAGATGGTGTGGGGTGGTGGTGTGGGGAGGTGGTTAATATAGACAGATTCTTGGGATACTCGGGTGGCCCAACAGTTGGGCATCTGCCTTTGGCTCAGGGTGTGATCCTGGGGTCCTGGAATCAAGTCCCGCATCAGGCTCTCTGCAGGGAGATGTCGGTGTCTCTGCCTCTCTCTGTGTCTCTCATGAATAAATAAAATCTTTAAAATATATATATAAAGATTCTCAGGCCCTGCTTCAGTAGGTCTCAGGCTAACCCACTTTTAAGAGCTCCCCAGTTGCTTCTAAAGCAATATTAGATTTGATCTATAACTATGAGACCCGGAAAAAGTACTAATAAAAACATAGGGGAATAAACAAATACTAGGATTGACTCATAGAACAAAATTCAAATCAGCCTCGGTAAGGGATCCTTTGTTTGCCATACTGTTGTTTTTCATCTATTCCTCCAGGCGAATGGGGGGTGGTGGTAGGGATTTGAAGGCATCAGAAGCATGGAGCAGGACAGGGCAAAAATGGAGCCCAGAAAGGAAGAGAAAGGGCCAAGGGAAGAAACAGGGCCATAGTGACAAGGTTGGCCTATGACCCCATCTTGTGGTTCCGAGGCTTCTGGGGTTGCAGAAGGGATCTGTTTCTGAAATATTAAGGTCTGGTATTTTTTGGCTCATGGCCTCCAGACTTGGCCCCTAACTCAGGGCAAGAGTCGCCCGTCCTGTCCCCCTCTTGCCCAGCCTTCTCTGGGGATGTGGCTTGTTTTCTCTATCCTAAGCTCAACTGATGCACACTGACGGCACCTGAGGGCCGGGTCTCCTTTAAGCAGCCCCACGAATGAAAACAGAGTCCCAGCGAGGCCTGCAGGAGTGGGGGGGGGGGGGGGCTCAAGGGCTGGGGGGGGCTGCTCTCGATCACCAGCGCCCAGGGCCAGGGCCCGTCACCCAGCCGGCCAGCGGCTTCTGCTGCGGAGCCGCGACCTCAGGGGACTCACGGGTCAGGTACTTGAAGGCCGGGTGCGCCCCGGTGCCCGTGACCGCGACCTTGCTGAACATGGGGAAGGAAACGCCGTAGGTGCGGCGGGCGAAGCTCTCGATCTCGCGGTCGCCGTCGGGCTCCTGCTGGCCGAACTGGTTGCAGGGGAAGGCGAGCACCGTGAAGTGCCGGGGCCCCAGGTCCCTCTGCAGCTGCTGCAGGCCCCGGTAGTGGCCGTCCGTGAAGCCGCACGCGCTGGCCACGTTCACCACCAGCGACACCTGTGGCAGAAGCAACCGGACACACGCAGCCTGAGTGGTCGGGCCCTGGGTGCCCCGGGGCCTGACCTCCAGTGCCGGGTCGCCCCGGGGCCCTGACCTCCAGTGCCGGGTCGCACGCAAGGGCAGCACCCCAATGGGCACCAACATGCCCACAGAGGCGCCCCACATCACACGTGCACATGCACGTCTGAGGACAAGCCTCCGCCAGCCATAAAAATACATTTAGCACACATCACACAAAGCCCACCAACACACACATTTATAGAGGTGCACCCACGGGTGCGCTCACGTCCTGAGGTAACGCCGGGGAGTGCAAAGGTGGATGTGCGTTCAGGTTCGGGCCCAGTCCACCGTGCTCATCGCCCTAGTGGCCTCCCTTGCAATAGACCCACTGGAAACCCAGGAGGGCAGGAGCTATGTCTGCTTCACTCCCAGGCGTGACACACAGAAAAGGCTCAGAAAGTGTTTGCTGAATGAATACATGTGCACACGTACACAATCACCTGCAGGGGTTGTAGACAGACATGAGGTTTCTTCATAAGAGGCCCCCAGGGCAACCCCATTTTGCCCCTCTCCCTCCAGCACACAAATATCACTTTCTTGAGTCACTAGACTAAACCTTAAATGTATTATCACCTTATAATAAATGTGTTTAACTATAGCCTTTAGGTGATAAATACAAAGCTGGCTGATAGAACTCACTTATAATACTGCATTTAGAATTTTGGCACCAATGCTGTTTTTAGCTTCTAGTTATACATTGTTAAAGAATTCTTAAATCTTACCCTGTGTCTGGGCAGCCCAGCCCCATTCCTTTGGCCACTTCTTTAGAAGAGCCGGGATTATACTGGCTGGCTCCATAAAGAGAGTCCCCTCCCATAGGCAGCCTGGCCACGCACAGGCACAACTGCTCAGGCTACACACGGTTTCTCAACCTCAGCACTTCAGACATTTTGGGTCAGATATTCTTTGTTACACGGGGGCTGTCCTATTCATTGTACAGAGTTTAGCAGCATCGCTGGCCTCTACCCACCAGATGTCTAGTTTTGACAGTCCAAAATGTCTCCAAACATTGTTGCATGTGTCCTAGAGTAGGTGAGAACTACTGGGCTGAATGATGAGAACACTGAGTTAGAACTCCCCTCCCCTGCTTCCACCAGGTAAGGAAGGACCCAGTCCATGGGGCCACAGGTCATTAGGACAACCTCTCTCATTTGTGTCAGCATGTCATAGTCTGCCTGTGATGGGGAGAAACTAGGACCCTTAACTCCCTTCCCTAGTTAGGGGTCTTTCTCTTTTTTCTCTGCTGGATCCCTGAGCAATGAGAGCATGAAAGGTTGCTTATTTTTAATTTACATCTTGTGCATCTGCCCACTTTTTTGGAAGGAAATTCTACTTGTCCTTCCATACCTGAAACCTATAAAGTTTATCTTTAAAGTGACCAAAACATGGACAGACACATCCAAATGCTCATAGTATATATATATATATATATATCCAAATATAGATACAGACTCAGGTGTGCACATAGGAGTAAACAAAGAAAGCATTAGCACACACACTACACTCAGGCCTCTACATGTGTAAGCTCACGTCCTAGACAAGCACATTCCCAGGCAGTCACTTATGCATCATACTCAACACTGGTCCGAATGACAGCCTTCCCAGTTGAGCCTGAGGGCACAATCCATACAATCTTGCTCATGGCTTTGTCTCTGGGATTGGACTCAGTGCCAGGCAGGTACTGGCAGCCAGCAAACCTTTTTCAATTTTTAAAAAGGCTATGGTAAAATACATATAATGAGCCAGTAGTTATTAACAGCTTCCCTGAACTACCTGTTTCTGATTTCCCTTTAAACCTGGCAGTTAAGGGCTTGGGCTTTAGAACTGGACTGCCTGGGTTAAAATTCTCACTCTATCTCCTAGTAGGTATGTGACTTTGTTCTTTTTTTCTATTGTTTTCTTTCTTTCTTTCTTTCTTTCTTTCTTTCTTTCTTTCTTTCTTTCTTTCTTTCTTTTTCAATTTTTTTCTGATTGATTTATTGGCTTCTCATTCCCATGAGTGAAAATCCTTGGCTTTTTAGGAGTTACCAATGACCTAGAGTAATTTTTTTTTAAGGATTTTACTTATTTATTCATGATAGACACACACACAGAGAGGCAGAGGGAGAAGCAGGCTCCATGCAGGGAGCCAGATGTGGGACTAGATCCCGGGACTCCAGGATCATGCCTGGACCGAAGGCAGGCGCCAAACCGCTGAGCCACCCAGGGATCTCCCTGACCTAGAATATTAAAACATTCAGAATTCTGGGATAACTTCTCTGGATCTGTTCCTCACATTCTGAGTACCTTATTCTGAAAATAAATAGACTTTGTCCTATTTATGTCTTAGTACTTAATACCACCGTACTAAGAATTACCTTGTTCATTTCTCTGTTCCTGTTTATTGTCTCTCTCTTTTCCATTTCAGATACACTTTATTAAAGGGAAACTTGTCTGTTTTCTTCACCACTGTATCCTAAAGACTGGCCTAATACTTAGTATATAGTAGGTGCTCAATAATAAATAATGAATGAGGGCAGCCCCGGTGGCGCAGGGGTTTGGCACCGCCTTCAGCCTGGGGCGTGATCCTGGAGACCTAGGATCGAGTCCCACGTTGGGCTCCCTACATGGAGCCTGCTTCTGTCTCTGCCTTTCTCTCTGTGTGTCTCTCATGAATAAATAAATAAAATCTTTAAAAAATAAATAAATAAATAAATAAATAAATAAATAAATAAATAAATAATGAATAGCAGAGTTGCTCAAGTGCTAAACCTGGGGCTTAGTCATGCCAACACTAGAAGGAAGGAGAGACCGGACGGAGAAGGCCTTCTCTTACTGGTTCTTTGTCCTCAGTCCTGGATGAGTTGCCCTGCTGGGTACAGTGCTTCTGATGGAGGAAAATGTTGGGGTTCAGAGCCAACAACCAAGAAACAATTCTTAAGACATTGTCGGTGCAAAATGGTGCTTTTATTAAAGCACAGGGACAGGACCCAGGGGCAGAAAGAGAGTGGCTGATTACACACTTTCAAGTTGAGAGAGGGTTAGGGATAGCACAAATTTCCAAGGCATTTTGCAAGCAAGGTTTCCAGGATCCTGAGGGGGCTAACTATTGTTAGGAAAAGGTCAATTATTACTACTTAGTAAAAACCCAGTCATGAGACCCAGTCAAGGGTGCTTCTGATATACACCCTTCAGATGTATATCAGTGGCTCATTTGCTTGGACAATGATTGCCAACCTGTATCTTGGGGGGAGGGGGGTAGCAAGAGAAAAAAAAAAAGTTTCCAGAGGAATTTTTATATGTTAAAGCAGACTCAATGGATCCTGGGGGTCAGGCTAAGATTGTCTTTTGTTCTTAGCAAAGTGTCAACATCGAGGTAGCTGAGCTCCTAGAGGAAAGTCACTCTACCTGTTTCAAGGACTTGTCAATGGGTTGTAGCAGCAAGGAAATTTATTTTTTTCTTTTGCCTTTGTTTCCCACATCACTTCCACACTGTCATCTCATTTGAAATTCACAACACATTAGGGAACAATTAGGACAAGGAACACCAGGACTCCCGCCATAATTTGGCATTTTAAGGTTTAGAAAGTGCTGATAGCCATTTCTTTGTGGTCCACCCAAATCTGGATGCTGTACCTATGTGTCCATTACCAACTCCCCACATTTCCCACACCAAGGCCCTAGGTAGGTCCATCTTTTTTTTCCTCCTTTTTGCCTCAAGCCCATTTTGAGAAATGGACTGTGAGTGCTCTTTATTACACACAGTGCAACATCTAGGCCTCTGAATATAGCGTTCAAGGCCCCTCTTGGGCCCTCCCTACTCTCTCCAGTCTCATCTTCCGCACTCAGCCTCAGGCTTGATACTCCTGCCAGCAGAGCTGCTCGAAGCCCACCCCCCCCTCCTCCTTCCTTGTCCGTGTTGGTTTGCTTCTGAGCCTTGGTATGAACAGTTCTTTGCCTGGAATGCTCTTCTTGGGTCTTGCCACTCACTCTTGCTTCAAAGACTTACCCAGGCCCATTTTCCCTGTGAGTCCTCTCTGAGCTGAGCTCCCGCCTTGGTGAGGAGACAGCTGTCAGCCTTGGGGGACTCTGGTAGCTCAGCCCCACTGCCATCTTAGGGTTTCGCCTAGAGAAGTCTACGGATGGATGGGGGAGTCCCCTCTCCGCTCTGCTTTGTGGAGCTGGGCGAAACCCTGGGCAAAGGCCTTTCCTCTGGGGCCTTGGTGCGGGCGCTGGAGCAAGGTGTGCGCGCACCTGAGCGGGTCCCTGCCGGGCTGCACGTGGCCTCCGCGGGGCTCTCAGAGGCCTGGGGAGCAGCACGGGCCCAGCGTGGGGGCGAAGGGGGCGGCGCTCTGCAGCCCGGGGGACAGGGGCTGGGCCGGCCGGTCTGACTCCCTAGCCCAGGGCCGGGAGGGGAACCCGCGTCGGCGGACGGGGTTTCAGGTTTCCCTGCCCAGGCCGGGGCCACGTCGCCGCGGGGCTGAGGGGGTGAAGGGGGAGAAGGGGGGACAGGGGGCCCCGGGGCTGCCGGGGGTGCTGGGGGGGCAGCAGGCCGTGTCGGGGGGGGGGAACAGGCCCTGCCGGGGGGGGGGGAGCAGGCCCTGCCGGGGGGGGGGGGGGGGGAACAGGCCCTGCGGGGGGGGGGGGGCACCAGGCCCTGCCGGGGGCGGGGGGCAGGCCCTGCGGGGGGGGGAGCAGACCCTGCCGGGGGGGGGGGGGGGGGAGCAGGCCCTGCCGGGGGGGGGGGGACAGGCCCTGCCGGGGGGGGGGGGGGAGCAGGCCCTGCCGGGGGGGGGGCACCAGGCCCTGCCTAGGGGCGGAGTGGGGGAGCAGCAGGCCCTGCCGGGGTCGCCCCCCGCGCCCGCACTCACCGAGCCGCGGTATTTCTCCAGCGACACCAGCTTGCCCCGGATGTTGACCGCCTGGAAGGCGTAGAAGTCCTGCTCCCGGGGCGCGCAGGCCGCAGCCCACAGGAGCAGCCACGCCGCCACCAGGGCCACCATGCCTGGCTCCGAGCAGGCAGCGCTGCGAGGGCGGAGTGGGCGCGGGGGGGGGGGGGAGGGGGGCAGGGGGGCGGGGGGCGGCCCCGGGGAGGGGCGGGGGGTGCATGGGCGGCTCTAGGGAGAGGCGGGGGCGGGCATGGGCGGCTCTAGGGAGAGGCGGGGGCGGGCAGGGGGCCCGGGGGCGCGGCGGGGGACCGGGCGGGGGGCGGCCGGGTGGGGGGAGGAGCGGGAGGAGGAGCGGGGACGGCCCCAGGGAGGGGGTCGGGGGGTGGGTCCGGGGGCCCGGGCGCGCCCCGCCCTCTGCCCACTGGCGCGGGTTGCGGCGGGGCCTCAGGTGCCCCCCCTGCGCCCGCCCCCCGCGCGCCCCGCAGCCCCGCAGCCCCGCAGCCGCGGCAGGGAGGCCCGGTCGGGGTGCAGGCCGCCGCGACCCCGCAGCCCCCGGGGCACCCGCGCACCGACCCCCCGCGGAAGGGCAGAGAGAGAATGGGGTGAACTGAGGGCAGAGAGGAACAAAGGAGTCCTGAGGTCCACGGATCGGGACTCCTCTGCTCTCTAGGGCTTGCCTCGTTGCGTTGTCCTGTCGCTTTGCTCTTCTTCTTAGTGTCCCTTTCCCGGTGGCTGGGACCCCTCCCAGGGGCTATTGGCATCCCTCCTGAGCGCTGGCCCACTGACAGGCACCTTCAGGGTCTCCTGATGAGCTCCTTCCAGGCAGTAGTAAATGACCTTACCTTAGGGCAGCTGGCCCCCTCAAGGTCCTGAAAGCTTTCCTTCAAAATTCCTTAGAGTCTCACACTACCCCTAACCCCCACTAACTAAAAAATGTATCGTCAGTCACCCCTCAGGACCCTCGTGCAGCTCTTTCCGTCCACGAGTCCTGTCCCTGTGCTTTAATAAAAGCACCTTTTGCACCAAAAAGCATCCCAAGAATTTTTTCTTGACTGTTTGCTCCTGGTCCATGACTTCAAAGTGCTTGTCAAGTTGAATGGTGTCTACAAACTTTAGGTGAATGCATGTAGGTTTCCTGAGATGGATGGCACAGAGAAAGGGAAGAGAAGACAGAAAGGGCCTGTTGCAAGTTGGGTTTTGGAGAAGCAGTCAGAGATGGAGGTTACGGTGCAGGAATTTTTGAGGGACCACCCTTGGGATCAACATCTGTGGAAGGGAGGGAGGGAACAGGAGTGGGCTCCTACTATAGGGTCCAGAAGTCCTACAGGCCAAAGACCAGTGTTGGCTGACCCCCTCGGGACTCTGGAGCTACAATGGCCCATCACAGTAGTCCCCCAGATAAACTAAAATGGCCAGACTAGGGTTTTATATCCCTGCTTCACCAGTCCTTGAATGTGGGGCCAACTAGGAAGGTGACCTTGTCCCTGGAGGGGCTGACAGTTGAAGGCCTTCCACTGACCGCCCTCCCAGTAGCTGGTGTCTCGGGTCTTTACTGATGGGGAGTCTGAGCAGCATATCACAGTGTCTCACACACTCAGAAAACCCTTACTGAGCTCCACAAAATGCCAAGCATGGTGCTGAGTGCTGATGCTCTACTAACTCTTCAGGACCTCACAGGCCACTGTGACAGTGCAGCTGGGGCACAGGAGTGGACGAGCTCCTGGCTCCAGGGGTCCCAAACAGACCAAGTTTGGCCACCTGTTTATTAACTGATAAAATCCAAAGGCAGAGAGATGTGTGGGAGTGAAACAAGAAAGGAATTTATTCAGGAAGGCCACTCCTGGGAAGACAGCAGACTAGAGTCTCAAAGACTGTCTCTACAGAGCCACAAGTGCTTCCAGGTTTATATAAGGAAAACGTGGGACAGAAGTGGGTGGGATGTGCAGGTGGGCAGTAGCAGATTGATCACTGTCTTGGAGTCAAGTTATGGTCAGGGCAGTCCTGATTGCCTGAGAGGGTGAGTTGGGTTCCCATCAGGGGATGCTTTGCCTGCAAGGTCTTCAATCCAAGCTAAGAGATGAACTGGAAAAAAAAGAGCCCAACTGGAAAATTTGAGATCAAAATGGAGGCAGCTGAAGTCCTTTTTCAGTTAATATCATGGCTACACACTCCTATAGTCCTTCGACAAACACTTTATTGAGTACCCGGTCTATGCCAGGTTCTGTTCTAGGTGCCTCTATGTAGTGATGAACAGGACAGCAGGGTCCCTCCCGGGGGACACAGGTATTAACTAATTCATAAACAGGTCTATAATCACTGCTGTGTTAAGTACCATCCTAAACCAGCCTGCTGGGGGGAGGGGGCGCAGACAAGGAGGCCTTCCCAGAGGAAGAAAAGTTTGAGCTGCACTCTGAAGAGTAAGTAGGTATTAGCCAGGTTGAAGCCAGGAAGCAAGTGCAAAAGTCCTGAGGGAGAGAGAAACATGGTGCACTCAAGAGTACAGAAGGCTGGTCCTGGGGGTGCAGAGAGAGCAAAGGGGAAGGAATGAGGCGGGTAATGGTGAGGTCACGCAGTACTGGTAGGCCACAGTAAAGAGTACGGTCAAGAGTAAACCAAGAAATGATCATGGTTATTTATTTGTTTGTTTGTTTATTTATTTATTTATATTTAGAAGGTGAAGAGGGGAGGGGCAGAGGAAGGAGAGAGAGGAGGGGTAAAATCTTAAGAAGACCCCACGCCCAGTGCAGGTCTCCATCACATGATCCTGACATCAGGACCTTCGCTGAAATCAAGAGTCAGCTCTTAAAACTGAGCCACCTGGGATCCCTGGGTGGCGCAGCGGTTTGGCGCCTGCTTTGGCCCAGGGCGCGATCCTGGAGACCCGGGATCGAATCCCATGTCGGGCTCCCGGTGCATGGAGCCTGCTTCTCCCTCTGCCTGTGCCTCTGCCTCTCTCTCTCTCTGTGACTATCATAAAATTAAAATAAAATTTAAAAAAAAAAAAAACTGAGCCACCCAAGGGCCCGTTTTTGTTATTTAAAACAGGGGAGTGGCAGGGAGTCCTATGGTGTGGAAAGGTCTCTCTGGCTGTTCCAAAGAAAGTGCATAGAAACAGGAAAAGCATGTGTGTTCTGGACACTGAGGTAAAGGAAACTCTGGGTTCTTAAGCCATGAGCAGTGGTGAACCTAGCAGTCAGGAAAGTTCCTGGAGGTGGTGACACTACAATCCTGTCTTCAAGGAGGAATGAGAACTCTGCAGGTTAGGGAAGAGGAGGGGGAAATGTGAGCCTGAGAGAGCAGGGCCTGTGAAGGCCCGGAGTCAACAAGGGGCTGCTTGGCCGTTGGCATAAGAAGGTAGAGGGTAGATGAGATTGGGGGGTCGTCAGGGCCACATGGAGGGGGTCGTCAGGGCCACGCCGAGGAGCTTGGGCTTTGCTCTCTGCTGTGATGAGCAGTTTTGGAAGGTGGCCGCAAGCTCACAGTCAATGAAACTGAAAGCCAGGCCTTTAAAGTCAGAGCTGGGCTCCTTCTGCACTGCCAGGGTGGCCTCTCTGCCCAGGAGCAGCAGCCTTCTCGGAAGAGGCAGAGAAGAGAAAAGGTGCCCCCCCCCCAACCTTGGGCCGGTGCCGCCTGTCCCTTTCACTCAGCCTCTCCCTGCAAGTCCCAATGACGGCGGTCGGCAAATTCTGCGCCATACAACTGGGAGTTTTGCAAGCTTGGCCAAGCTATTTCCTGTTAAGACCCAGATGGGACGCCTGGGTGGCCTGATTCTGGGCCCAGGATCGAGTCCCATGTCGGGCTCCCCGCATGGAGCCTGCTTCTCCCTCTTCCTGTGTCTCTGCTTCTCTCTCTGTGTCTCTCATGAATAAATAAATAAAATCTTTAAAAAAAATAAAATCCAGATAGGTAGGCATTTCTACTAAGCAGGGAAAAAAAGTAGTGGTGAAATGTTTCTCTTCTGGGATCTATCCTCCTCCCCTAGTCTGGTGACTTTTATTACTTGTCTGTGCTAGAATCTGATATGAAATGCTATTGATTTTAGCCATCAGTGAATATTTTGTCATTTTCTTTTCAGTCCACTATGAATTTTTTTGTGTTTCTGAAAGAGCGCAGCTGATTCCAGGTGGTCTCTCTATACAAGTAGGAGACCCACAGGCACACATATATGCACACACAGTTCTTAGCAGAGCACCTGAAAGGGCAAGGGACTCACTCCTAGATACCCTGTACTCCTCTTCCCATAATAAGCTCAAAGAAGCTTTTCCTGGGTACTTAGAATACCCATTAATGGTTTGTTCATTCATCAAATAGTTGAGCACCTACTATCTACAAAACAAATTTTAAGGATTAGGAATATAGTAGTTAATAAGACAGACAAAAAAATGACAATAGTCAGCAGCCCGGGTGGCCCAGCGGTTTAGCGCCGCCTTCAGCCCAGGGCCTGATCCTGGAGACCAGGGATGGAGTCCCACATCAGGCTCCCTGCATGGAGCCTGCTTCTCCCTCTGCCTGTGTCTCTGCCTCTCTCTCTCTCTCTCTCTCTCTCTCTCTTTCTCTCTCTGTATTCTCATGAATAAATAAATAAAATCTTAAAAAAAAAGACAATAGTTCTTGAACATACATCCTAGTAGAGGGAAAAGAATGATAACTAAAAGTATAATATGAAACATACAGTACATTAGATGGCGATAAGCTGGGGAGAGGGATTGAGAATGGAGTGGGTAGTGGGAGGGATTTGGCGACTTTAATTCCAATGATCTGGCAGGAGGCCTCACTGAGAAAGTGGTATTTGAGCAAAGACCCAAGAAAAGAGAGCAAACAATGGGGAAAATTAGAAGAGCAGCCTTCCAGGAAGAGGGAACAGCAAGGACACGGGTCCTGAGGCAGGAGCATAGCAAAGAGGCTAGTGTGGAGGGAGTGAGGGGAAGGGTATGGGGGGAGGACACTACGGGGTAATGGGATCCAGCATCCAGCAAGACCCAGGCCCTTTGGCCTCAGGAGCCATTGCAAAGACACTGGCTTGGAATCTGAATGTAAGGCCCTTAAAGAGTTTTAAGCAGGGCGCCTGGGGGGCTCACTTGGTTATGTGCCTGCCTTCAGCTCAGGTCCTGATCCCAGGGTCCTGGGACCATCTGGGCTCTGCTCCGCAGGG